CTCTCAGCTTTTTTCTGGAGACCCCGTAGTGGCTCAGCCGTTATTATATTTCCCTCAGCAGCTACTTGGAAATCTTTCTCAGCTGTAGTCAGCCTAAAGGCCTGCTTAGGATAAGATTCAGTTGGCTGCCCAAGTCGCTAGTCACATTTTCCTGGTTTTTTAAACGTCTTTTTTTTTTTTTAAGGTAAGCATTGGATATTATGCATAATTCCAATGGCTCTAGGATTTGGACATACCATACAGTTCACTCTGCGGATGTAGTTCAGTGACACAGGCGCCTGCTTGGCAAGTGTAAGATCCTGAGTTTAATTCCTGGTACAAACAATCTAACAAATAAATAAATAAATTCACTCTTTTAAATTTGTGTTGATTTTTGTCATATATGTACCTTGACTCAACATACAAAGATTTAACAACCACAGATCAAAAATCCAATTAGGCCTACAACAGTATAGTTACATCTATACTGAACATGTACATACTTCTCATTATTCCCTAAAGAATATAATTATTTAGATAACATTTACATTATATTAATATATATGGTATTATGTATTAATCTGGAGATGTTTTAAAGTATATAGTAGCTATATGATGATTTTATGGAAATTCTATACCATTTTATATAAGGAACTTGAGTATTCAAGGATTTTGATGTCTGCAGAGGGTTCTGAAACTAGTCCTTGGTTTCTGAGCAGTGGCTGCATTTGCAAAGTTGTGCAATCACCACCAATTTCAGAATGTTTTTATGAATCTAGAAAGAAACTCTACTCATTAACTATCATTCCCTATTCCTTTCTCCTCTCGACCTGGCAACCACTAAGGCACTTTTTGTCTCTTCACATTTGCCAGTTCTATACATTGTCACCTAAACAGCCTTTTATGACTAGCTTCTTTCATGCAACATAGTATTCTAGACATTCATTCACATCACTCAGTCCTTTATTCTTTTCATGACAAAATAATATACTAGTGAATGGGGTGCTCCATTCAGTACCCCTCTTATCTCTCAAGTTACTCCTATTCTCCATCCTATTCTTATTTTTCAGTAAATTTTATATATATATATATATATATATATTCTAGTGAATGGACATATGCCATATTTTGTGGATCTGTTTACCAGTTCTGGACACTTAGGAGTAGGTTAAGTGTATTACTTGGTAAATCTATTCAACTCTGTGAGGAAGTAATAAAATTTTTAAACTACAACTCTACTAGAGTCATTTAACAGAATTTAATGGGGCTGACCAGAGAGCTCAGCGGACTGAAGTGTCTGCTTTGGCAGAGCACAGCGGTAGGGGCTCAATCCCCAGCCTGCTGTACCAGTCCCATTCCCGGGGTGTGCTGAGACAGTGATTGAGCCTGGGCATGGTGGCCTGCACCTGTAATCCCAGCACTTGAGAAGCTGAAAACAGGAGGATCACTGAGTCCGATCTCGATAGTGAGACCCTGTACACCCGATATACCCTGTCCTATATTCATTAAAAAGTAAATAAAGGGGCTGGGGGGATGGCTCAGTGGAATAAGTGCTTCCCTGGCAAGCGGAAGGACCTGAGTTCAATCCCCAGTTCTGCAAAAAAAAAAAAAAAAAGATGTATTTTGTTTAGGGGCCGGGGAGATGGCTCAGTAGAATAAGGGCTTCCCTGGCAAGTGCAAGGGCCCGAGTTCAATCCCCGGCTTCGCAAAAAAATAAATAAATAAATAAAAATAAAAAGTAGAATTTAATAAACTCACATTTCTCGTGATTGCAGTGACTTCTATGTGTATGTTTCCAGTACTGGGCTTTTCAGTTTATTGGAATACTTAAACATGCTTATGTGCTGATTTGCCCTTCTATCACCCAACCCCATGAGGAAAATTGGACCTTGTCCTTTGAATTGAAAACAAACTTAAACTTCCATGTTTATCTCAATGTCTACAGTTAATCCAAATAGCCATTCATGTTAAATAGAGTATTAACATGCTTTCAGTCATTCTTTTTGTAGTATCCCCTTATTCAAACATCGCATCTTAATATTGTGTCTTTTACCTTTTTGTATAATCCATTAGTGATTTTCTATCTGTGCCTACCAGTTATCCTGATTTCTTTGCCCAGCACTATTTCTTCAATAATAAATCTCTATATCTCCTGAAGATTCAATACTATTTTTCAGGAATACTTCCTCAAGGGAATTTTTAAGATATATTTTATTGCTGGTAAACTTGAGTCCCTACATGTATGAAAATATTTTTATTTTACACTTATTTTCAAATGTTAAACTGGATTTAAAATCATTTTCCCTTAGAATTTTGAAGATACTACACAACTGTTTACTAGCTTTGTTTTTTACTGATGAGAAATTTAATGTTAATCATTATCAGCCCTTTGTTTCTTTCTAGGAACTCTTAGTGTTCTTTCTTTGGCCTTTAAGTTTGGCTGCTTTACTGCTCCAAATTTAGGTCTTTGTCTTCTATCAGCACTTGCTGAATCCTTTCTATCTGAAGAGCTCTACTTTTTCCTTGGGGACATTTTTATCTTTAGGTTTTGTTTTTGGTATATTTTTAGACATGTTCTCATTATATAGACAGTGCTGGTCATGATCATGGTGATCCTCTTGCTTCATTTTCCTTAGAGCTGGGCTTATAGGCCATGCCCAACTGACTGTTTCTTAAAATCTTGGGGGCAGGGGTTGATGAGGGTTCTACCAGGAATGAAACTCAGGACCTCATGGCTGACAGGCAGGCACTGCACTAGTGAACTAAATCCCCAGCTCTGGTGTCTTAAATTCTTACTAGTCAGATATTGGAACTTAAATGTATTCACTATGACCCCTTAGCCTTTCTTTTTCTTTCTGTTGTGTATGTGTGCACACATGCATGTGTACACTATGGTATTTTTAGAGAATCCTCAGTAAAAAAATCTGTTTTATGAATTCACATTGCAGTTTATTCCACTTAACATCATTAACTATAAAAGAAACCCTGATGGTAACCTGACAGTATATGTACCTGGGGCACACGTACTTTGTGTACAGATTCAGTGTTACAGTTTGTCCAGAAATGGATAAAAACAGCAATTTTATGTTATGTGCATGTATGTATATGCAACAAATTTAAAGATAAATGGTAGAATTTTAAAATTCACTGCTAAGATACTTGTAGTATCCTATATAGACTAGTACCCAAAGATGGATTTCTCTTGTGACCCTCTTTGTTGTACTCCTGATTTCAAAAATAATGTTTGTCGCATGTATGTGTCTCCTTAAAAGTGCTGCCTTCCCTTTTCTATTTGGTGATCATTTTGGCAATTTGCCCAGTTTTGTCCTCACCATACTTTCACCTAGTTAAATGCTTAGCAGCTTTACTGCCAGTGGTCATAAGGGTTAGACAGGACAAGCTGTGTAGGGGCAGGTATACTGGTCCTTGTCTCCTGAGGGCCACCAGCTCCTGTCACATTACTCTACTTTGCAGTCCACTACTGTACATCGTTGCTGTCCTAGCCTGTGGATGTGTGGCCCAGCTGTTCAGATGCAGCTTACCTGTGAATCATCCTGATGTATGTGTGAGTCCCTCCAACTGCAGCTGTCTGTGTCCACTGGTGCTACTCGAAACTCTCCCCTAAGTGCTACTATTTTTGCAAACATTTTGTCCTACATGTGGCTTGGGCCATGCCTCCCTTCAGTTACTCTTCCTGCTCTATGCTTTAGCCTTAAAATGTTATCTTGTCTTCTTCCAAGAGCTTGCTGATAGTCTTTTCTTAGTTTCCTATGCACTTATTATTTATATTTTTAAAAATATTTATTAAATGTGTCATTTTCTCTGAAAAAATTTCCATAACAGTTACTTAGCAGTTACTTGTATCATATCACCTAAGTTTATTTTCATTGTAGCACTCACCTTCAATGTTTACTTGTCTCCTATCTTTCAGACCTAAATGAAGACTCCATTAGGGATCTTATATGTTCCAGTTACTGCTTCCTCATAAGTTGTTAGAGTAGTGTCTGTTATGTAGTAGGTATTTAATAATGCGTCTTTCATACAATATCTGTTTAAATTATTTAGATTTTATACCAGGAAACTGGCTTAGCACTTATTCTATATTAACCTCTCTATTCAAGACAAAACAATCCCTTACTAATCAAATAATTTTATTTGCCAAAAAAGATATATATCAATCTGTTGAACAATATAAAATGTAAAGTTTTTAACCTCCAACACTTCAGTTTGTGTGTCACTGAAGCAAAGCTTGAAGGGAAAATAAAAGCAGAGCATTGAATACCATTGTAAAGTGACCAGAAATAACAAGTATATTTGTGCCTCTAGTTTCCATAAGTATTTGAGGTACAGCTTATTCTTGTGTCTTAATATTATGGAGCTGCTTTAATAAACCAACTTTCCCTGGCTAATTCCCAAACTCTTAAATTAGGTTAAGGATTTACTCTGCCAGATACATTTTTTGTGTGCATGCCCTGCCTCTTACTGTACATTTTGTAGGTTTAATTATCTGACCACCAATATGTGATAGTCATAAGCAATTTCTTAGTTTAAAACATTGTTTTGAAAGTTAATTCCTTAATTAATAGGTTGGAAAAACAGCCGAATCTACTTAGGTGGTCGTATTTTCTATGTATGTAATAACTCCTTTGAGAGAAAATTCCATGTTTCAGCCTGTATTTGAATGGGTCTTTATTGATACGTATTTTAGTTTGGTTTTCATATAGTTAATATTATGACATTAGTAGCAATTTTGTTTTCTGTGCAGGGATAAAATTTATTTCCACATTTTAAAAAATAATTTATAGTGAAAAAAATGTCCCTATGAAAAACAAATTAAAACTCATCTGTTCTCACAACACAAAAATACTAGTATATGTTGCACTAGTATGATTGCACCTGGAAGATTACTGTAGGTTGTATATACTCTTTACCAACCAGAGAAAAAGCTTACACCTTACAGAACTAAACTCTTCCCTTTATGATTCTGATGAAATTATTTTACTTTTGTCTTTATTACTTAGGCAAAGATGCAATATTTACAATTCCAGTAAAAAATATTCTTGCTGTGGAAAAACTAGAAGAGAGTTCTTTCAACAAGAAAAATGTAAGTCTTATAAATATTTAAAGCATTATAAACTACATATATGTAAAACTTAGTTGAAAAAATTTGAATTGTTTGTGTTTACCATAATTACCGTTTAGCTTATAAATTGCTAGCTCAAATTGTTTTAAAATTGTCCAGTAATGTTGATATCTCATAAGTCTGTCCAGTTTATTAAGAATACTTTCCTCAGTTTAGTTTAAAAATTATTTTCCTATTCTATGACAGTGAAATTTTAGTAACATAGTCCCAATCTATCTGTTCACTTTGTCTTCAGCTTCTACTCAGTACCTATAATACACTCAAACAACAAAGACCATGTCCTTGCCCCTCAGGATTTCCCCATTGCTTTGCCTTTCCTCATCTGAAATTCCTTCCCTTTTTTTCTTAATGTATGATAGGCCTTCTGGACACATGTGACTTCTTAAACTTACAACCTAGTATACTTATGCCATACAACTTTATCTGTCTTTGGAATTAACTTGATAAAAAAAAAAAGTAATAATTCATAGGATACCTTAGCATAAGATTATATCTAGACAACAAACTAGATCTTTGTTACGTAGTTTGTGTATTGTGTTTTGGTTCTTGAGACTTTCTCACTAACTTTTATCTTATTTGCATGTGAAGATGTTCCAAGTAATACATACAGAAAAACCACTCTACGTCCAGGCCAATAATTGTGTGGAAGCTAATGAATGGATAGATGTACTCTGCAGGGTGAGCCGATGCAATCAGAACAGACTTAGTTCTTTTCATCCTTCTGCATATCTCAATGGACTCTGGCTCTGCTGCCAGGAGACTAGTGAACACACTCCAGGCTGCAAGCCATGTACTGCGTAAGTTTCTTACTGATGAAGAAAGCATTTTCACAAATGGTGTATCCATACAGTAGAATATTATTTGGCTGTTTAAAGGAATGACTTACAGATGCATGCTACACAATGGATGAACCTTGAAAACACGCTAAGTGAAAGAAGCAAGACATAAAGGCCAAAAATTACATGGAAAATTTTACATTACAAAATGTCCATAGACATTTGTATAGAGACAAAATAGATTACTGATGGTTAGTTTGAAGTAATAGAGAATGTGGAGTATTAATGGATACAGAATTTCTTCTTGGGTTAGTGAAATTTTCTAAAATAAACAAAAATTTTTTGTTTGTTTTTGAGACAGGGTCTTGGCTGGTCTTTTACTGTGTGGCCCAGGCTGGCTTAGGTTCTCAGTGATCCTCCTATCTCAATCTCCCAAGTGCTGGGATTACAGGCATGCACCACCACACTAGTTTACTTTTTTTTTTTTTTTTTAAGCCCTAAGTACAGCTCTACAGGGCTGGGAGTGTGGCTCAGTGGTGGAATATTTGCCTATTATGTCCAAGGTCCTGGATTCAACCCCCTGCACCACCAATTTAAAACATATATGTCTGTCTCTCTGTCTGTTTCTGTCTTGTCTGTCTGGACAGGATATGAAAAAGGAAGACTTAGCATTCTGAATCTAATTTTGTGGAATATCCATTGTAACCTGACTTAAGTAGTAAGATATTTGTGATCAAGCATGGGTTATGAAAATTACTCTACTTTAAAATCTCCCTCCTTCGAGGTGAGAATGTAGCACAGTGCTAGATCATTTGCCTTAGCAGCTATGAGTCCTGGGTCTGATCCCTCACCACCAAAAAAAAATAATCCCCCTCCTTATGATTAGTCACATAGTGACCGAATTCTCTTAGCTCCATTTTTAACTATCACTGAAACTAAGTTGCTAAAAGTTTCTTTTGCAGAATTCTTGTTCCATTTTATTTTAGTAGTACATGTTTGCAATACATGATGATTACATTCATTGTGAGGAGTTGGTATATGTACATAACAAATGTTTTTTTGTTTTTTTTTTTTGGTTTTTTTTTTTGGTGGAACTAGGGATTGAACTCAGACCCTTGTGCTTGCTAGGGAAATGCTTATTCCACTGAGCCATCTCCCCAGCCCCCATAACAAATCTTATTTCTTTTTACTTTTCCTTATTCAGGTGTTTATTTGGGTAGTTGTTGTTTTGTCTGTGTGTGTGTGTGTGTGTGTGTGTGTGTGTGTGTGTGTGTTTTGAGACCAAAGTCTTACTTTGCAGTACAGGTTGGCCTTGAACTCCTTTTTCAGTCCAGACTGTTTAAATTATAAGTGTGCACCACACCTAGCTTATTCAAGTTTTAATTTCAAATCAAAAGGTTTTGACATGTTTACCAAGTTACTTTTGTCCAAAGCCTTTATTTTCTTTTTTTTTTAATTTTTATTCTTGTTGCATTCATTTGATTACATTCTTCATGAGGAGTTGTATATACACATAATATACCTTAATTAATTTTAGTTCCTCCGCCTTCCTCCGTCTCTTGATTCCAGTGTCTTTAATTTAATTTTTACAGTGGTATCCCTGCAGACATCCAAATAGATATTGATGAAGACAGAGAAGCAGAAAGAATTTATTCCCTTTTTACCCTCAGTTTGCTTAAACTGCAGAAGATGGAAGGTAATTACACAACTATAATCTGTTTTTATAACAACATAATCTTTTATTACCAGTTCCTGAAGGTTGCTTTGGCATTACAAACAAAACGTTGAGAAGACTCAGAGACTTACCAAAATGCTACTTACATAAAGGTCATAAAACTACCAAAGGGACATTATGAAGTGAAATTACTGTTTTTATGAATGTGCTATCCAGTTAATAAATGTATATATTTTAATCATCTGTGCACTGCCAAGGGAGACCTCCCCAACTTGAGATACTTGACATTTTTTATTAATACTACAAGTTACATTTATGGAATTAAGGTTTCTGATCAGAGATTTCACTGTTCCTTATAGAGGCTTGTGGAACGATAGCTGTCTATCAAGGGCCACAGAAAGAGCCTGATGATTATTCTAACTTTGTAATTGAGGATTCTGTAACAACCTTTAAGACAATTCAGCAAATAAAAAGCATCATTGAGAAGCTGGATGAACCTCATGAAATGTATAGGAAGAAAAGATCCAGCAGTGCAAAGTATGGGAGCAAGTAAGTAAACATACTTTATAAACAGTATGAAATTGCCTTTTCTACCCTACCCTTCTCACCTGCCTGCAGGCCTCCTGGTTGCCGCCTCTGTTGAGACCCAGCCCAGAGTCTTTATCTTGTACAGTTTCTCTGCAGCTTACACTCTTGAACTTTTTCATCTCAGCTGTCAGTTCATTGTGTTTACATTGTACTTTTATCACCACTTCAAGTGTTATATTGAGTTTTAATTTATTACTTGAATATTTAAATTAAAATCATGCAATCAGTGCTAGAAGTATTTTATATTCTCATAGAGGAAAATATATTAGGTAATAACAGCAACAGATAACAGTTATTGGGAATGTACTCCATCTGGACACTGTACCTATAGTATTTTATATCATATCATTTAGATTGTTTTTAGGAACAAATAGCAAAATCCTGAGTGAAGTAGCAAGAAATTTTTTAGTCTCAGTAAGTCCTAATATTTATGACTGGTAGGTTAAGCCTCTCATCACCATCATCTAGAACAATCTGCTGCTCACCCATCATCATCAACATGGTTCTCTTCCTTGAATTTGTTTCCTTGAGGTCACAGATTAGCTATAGTAGTTCAGAACTCCACATTTTTCTCTGGTGGCATCCAAAAGCAGAAAAATCTATTCCTTCTTACAAAAAAAGAAGAACCTATCTTGGATAACCCAAGCCTTCCCTAAAATACAGGGTTTCCCAGTACTAAACTAGAATCGTCTTGTTTACAACAGTGTAGGTAGGATTTGGCTGGACCAGCAAATAATAGTGTTTGCCACAGTATATATTGCTTTCTCATTGGTCCTCACATAAACCCAACATGATTTTATTCCCATGTTATAGCTAGAGAAACTGAGACTTGGGGATAGTAAATGCCTTGACGTAGATCACACAGCTGATTAGTAGAACTGTAAATTTTAATACTCTCTGAAAGTTGTGGATATTAATATTTTCATTTGTAGACCTTAAAAATCAGTTTGACAGGTTTAAATATTTATGATCTTCCTGCACAGAAAGCTGAGGACATTAGGAAAGTTTAATTGTAAACGTTTTTGTTTACTAGAATGTAATGTTCCTTGATAGCAAAGGTTTCATCTGCTTTGTTCACAGGCATATCCTTGACTTTTAGAATAGTGCCTTAAATTTAACAAAGTATTCAGTTAATACTTGTTGAATGAATGAATCATGATTCAGCATGGTAGCTGATATGTACTAATTATAGTAAACATGATATTGGACTGAGAGATCATCAGAGGGAAATTATGCAGTTGTGTGTCTGTGTAGGTTCTGTATCTCTTTTTAAAAATTTTATGGTTTTTAACTTACAAACAATGATTTTCTTTTAATGTTTTCTAGGGAAAATCCAATTATTGGGAAAACCTCGTAAGAGTTTGACCAATTGATTCAGAAGAACTGGAAAGTGTTCTTTTTTACTTGGAGTTTCTCAATTCATCATGTGTTTTGTTCATAGTATTTAAGAATGAACATTGGCTTCAATGTCACCTGCATTCACATTATATTTAATATTTAATGATTGAAATTAACTGTTTGGAAATCCTGGTTTTAATGTATTACTAGAGAATTTGAAATCCAAGATTTCCTTCATTTCTTGTGTGTCTAAATTCATATTTCTGCAACTTCTTATAGAATCTTCCTAAAGAAGTTTCCTAAAGAAGCTTTTTAACAAAGGGAGCACTTCTCCTATAGCAAGAAACTATCTCTTCTTGTAAACTGTTCTGTGGACTTTTTTCACTACCATTAGTGCCTGCTCTATACTGCCAACTTGTATTTTACTAGAAAATTCCAATCCATGTCAATTTAGAGCTTTCCATTAATTCACCTGAACCCTCCATCTTTTATAAAAGAAAAGAAAATTCTTTTTTCCTTTGGTCCATTCATCATTACAGGTTACATTAGAGACAGCAACAGAAACTTTAGAAAACTGCCAGAGCATCCTTGCAAGTGATAGATCTTTTTGCCTATCAAAAGATGTAAACAGAACTCAGGAGGAATCAGGGAATATGTGCTATTGTGTGCATCATGTTTACACAGGGATGAGTGATGGCAGGTGAAATAAAATGAAACCACTAAAATATTTTTAATTGTTTTAAATATCAGGTACTCATTTTTTAAGAGATTTCAAATTAACATGACTTCTAAGGAGCTCTCTTCTGAACAAGAAGAGAAGGTAAACAGTGAAAGAAGATGGTGGGGAAATCACCTGACCTCACCTGCTTCATGTTAGAATAAGGGTGTCACGAGGATGCCCTCCTCCTAGTATTGGGTTGAGATCTAACTCAAGAACAGTCACTCGGCGCACTTTAATAATCTGGCCAGCACCAGATTATACTTTAGATACTCTGTGGTATCTATCTTTATGATCAGTTGAATGATCAGTGTTTAAATCTAGAAATAGTGCTTTCTTGAAAATGTTTATATTTCTTTGCTGTTTCCTTATTGCCTGCTAGCCAAATGGAATTTGGTTTGAATCTTATTTTTCCTTAATAATTTACTTTTGTCCTAAAAACCATAACTGTAAATAAGCAGTCGAAGCAAGTTGCCACCTTGAAGGGGAGTATACTTTGCTTCATCAGTATTAAAAATTGTGGTACTCTTTATCTTTTTTTTAACTCAAAACATTTTCTAAATGTGGTACCTTGAACCTTGGAGTATTTACTATGTTCCTGTTTAAAACTGTGACTTATTAATGTAAGTCTAGCTAGTAGTGCTTGTTTTTGTATCCCTGAGCATAAGCTATCTTTCACAATATATTTGCCAATTATATTATTGGTGGATATTTTTAAATTGTATTGTTATTAGGTCATTATTTTTAAGACCATTGGCACACAATCAGTTTTTCTATCAGCAATCATAACTGAGCAATGTATTTCTTTGTGTGACTTGTAAAGATCAGTTGGTTATGTTTAAGAATCAGTACCATTTTGCATTCCTGGCTCATACTAAAGCTTGGAAGAATCCTTTATTTTATGAACTTACAGGCTCCACACTCTATACTAATTTATATATGTGAAAAAGCCATTTAATAAACTTCTCATGGATTTCATTGCTATGAAAACTTAAAATTCTCCATCTGCCAGTAGAAGGACATATGAATATTGCTGTGTGTCACTCATTACCGTTTGGTGGCTCGATTTTGTGCTGGATTTTGTCCTGGGGAGTTTAATTTCTTGGGAAGTAAAGCAAAAGAAATGTCTTCCTAATATCATATCCCAATTATGATTAGTTTTAAAGATCCTCGCATGCTCAAAGGGAACCACATCTGTCCCTTTATATAACAATGGATTTGAATGAAAAATTTAGTCATCTGGCTATTTTCTTCACACATATATTTGAATTAATAATTTGAGTGGAATTAATCATTTTGGCACAGCCTAAAAAAGAAATAAGAAATTAAATTCTTTTTAAATACCTTTTTCAGGGGCCAGGGAGATGGCTCAGTGGAATAAGCACTTCCCCGGCAAGTGCAAGGGCCTGAGTTCAATCCCCAGTTCTCCAAAAACAAAAAACAAAAAACAAAAAAAACAAAAACCTTTTGCAATAAGAAACCATGTCAAAAGGACCGTTAGCCACAGACCTTACTTCCAGAGGCCTCCTTCCTCTGCTGTTATTCCTGAGTTCCTTGATACCTAATCTGCTTTTTCTCCCTTTCCCCAAAGCTTTTTAAAAAGTACATGGCAGCTTACTTCTCGCCCAAAAACTTGGAAGCCACAGGGAGTACAGAAAAGGATGTGGGAAAACTCTTGCTGTGAACACGAGTTCTGACTCTTTAGTTTCACCATTTGAAATGATCATAATTTGTACTGTGTTTTTCTTTAGTTTTGTTTTTTAATTTCATTTGATAAGATAATGGGCAGTAGCAAAGGTTTTTACTCCCAGGAATATAACTTTATCAAGTCAAACTATTATTTGCCAAAGAAGTATATTTTTAGTATCATATGTAATAGTTACATGTCAGAACTTGGCTTTTTGTTTAAAAAAAAAAAAAAAAAAAAAAAAAGAACAAATGATGTGGCTTGTGTTTCATTTTCTGGAGCCTGGTTTTATTCTTTACTAGAAAAGCTCTTTTATGCCAGGTTTTGAAAAACAAAATTTTTTTTAAGTGAAAGCACCTTTAATTTGCTCTAACGGTACCTCCTGTAAAGACAGTTGTGCATAGCCTTTTAGGTGTCCTTACAGTATGTGAAAAATACAAGACTCATTCTAGAGTTAAATTACCAACCTTAATTGATACTATCTGCTTCCATTTTTAACTTGGAAATTAATATGTTGCTAGTAAATATTGGTTTTTATAAGTGTCCAGTTTGAAAATGTAAGTTATCAAACTTAATATAGTGAATTTGTGTAACCATGTTGTATTGTAGAGAATGTATTTTTATTTAAATTTTATTTTCTTATCAAGAGTATTATAAAATTAAAATCTTTTGTAACTGTCGCTTGAAAATAACTCAAATAAATTACCAGAAGCCTGTCTTTGTGAGACCTTACTGATTTATAATTTACTTAAAATCAGTGTGCAAGCTCAGGGACCATGGGTCGATCTTCAGCACCACATGCTGCACTGGTCCTGCCCCCAGGTGCTCTGAGCCAGCCACTGACACTGGGCATGGTAGTGCATACCTGTAATCGCAGTGCTGGGGAGGCTGAAAACAGGAGGATCAGTATGAGTACGAGCTGCATAGTGAGAAAAAAAAAAAAAAAGATACCAAGGTAGTCACCAGACAAGCCTCAGCACTTCTCTGAGGTGCAGGTGGGCCCAGTTTGTAGTACAGAGGACAGCCTTGGCAAGGCAGCCATGGCAGCTCCAGAGCCCTGGCTGAGCCCAGGGATATGGGGCAGCATGGTGGCCGCACCACCCCCAGAGCCCTGAGGTGAGCCCTGCATGTGCCCTGCAGACTGCACGATGCTCCTAGACAGGGTCTGCATTACTCCTGCCCTTCCAAGCCCAGTGACTGCTCCACCCTCACTCCTCTCCCTCCTCAGGCTGCCTGCTTGCTCCGGCTCCTGGCCCAGTCTCAGGCTTTCTGGACTCTTAGACTTGCTCATCTTGCCAGCATTTCAGTCACTCACAGAACTTCCTGCGAACCCTGCAGATCCACTTGGCAGCCTGGACAGGGACACCACGGCTCTGGCCTCAGGCTGTGCCTCCCTAGCTCAGATACCCCAGACTGAAAGGACTTCTTCCTGCCTGGGCATGAAATCAGCAGGCAGCCACTGAGAACTCAGGATAATCTTTCCAGGCAGTCACCCCAGGGGGTGAACACTGTGGGGGACCTGGCAGATCTGAGGCCATGTGAGACCTCCCCACCTCACATAGCACCTGGGGACTGGCCAGGGTGGCATTTCTTACCCCTCCCTGCTTAAGCCCCATGTAAGGGCAAATCTGGGTAGGGGTGGGTTCTCTCCTCAGCGCTCTGCAAATGAGTTTCCCAACTGTGAGGTAAGATTTTTAGGAAGCTTTGGAAAGAAAGAAACATTAGATCAGTGGTTCCCAGAGTGAGTTCCCCTTACCAGGAGTGCCAGCAGCCCTGGGAGCTCAATGCGGATGCAGACTCAGCCCTAACCCAGACCCACTGAGTCAGCATGGGGCAGGGTGCTGAGCCCTCTGTTCCCTGTGACCTCTAAAGGGATCAGCCAGTACGTCAGGCTGACCTCCAACTCTCAAGGATCCTCCTGCCTCAGCCTTCCAAGTGCTGAGATCACAGGTTCGCACCCTAACACCGGCAGGGAGACCCTGTTGGAGGTGTTCAGAGCTTGTCGTGGAAAGGCTTCCTGTGCCACAGCCTGCACCTGGGCTCTACCTGGCACCTGCTGAAGAGGGGGCCGTTCCTGGAAGTATCAGGTCCTCCTCCAAGGCTCTTCTGAGACACTGCAGGTGTTAAAGTTGGGAAGGGGACATGTGGCCCCATCTGTGTAGCATGGAGCCGCTTTAATTTTTTAAAAAATTAAAGTTCCCAAATATTATTGTTGGGAGCACTTAGGAGGGCTCTAGTGTGGTGCCTCTTACACAAATATTGTGAATCACAATAACTGCGTTTATCTTCTTTTTCCTTCAGCAAACAAGGAAACATCTGTAGGGGTGCTGCTGTTTATTTATTTTTGAATGAGCATCGTAATGGTGGAAATATTTCGTACGTGATTATAGAGACCCAAGGCTAACACACTGCCCCTGAGGAGAAGCAGGAGTTATTGACAAATAACATAGATGTTCCCTTCAGAAGACCTGTACATGGAATCCTCATCTTTAGGTGGCAGAGTTTTGGGCATCTTGCTTCTCAATAAAATGCAAGGGGAGACCACTAGCAAAGAAGGCGGCCCCGGCAGAGGGGTCTGGTCTGACAATCTCAAATATACAGCTCTTCCTGTGCCTTGCTTTCCCTTCTTTCTCTGCCTACGGGAGGAGCTGGATGCCAGGTGTGGCTGTGGACTGAGGCCTCCAGCCTTTTCTGGGGCCAGCCCCCTCTGGGGAATATTCAGGTGGCTGCCATAAGCATCTTGCTTAAAATCTCATATTGGTTGTGTGATTTATGCACTTAATGCAAGAGAAATCAGAGGTGCTCAGGTGCATGAGCACCCTATGACAGAGGAAAAGAAGAGGACCTGCCCTGTTAAAAGCCTGGTTAGCGAGAGGCTGACCTCCAAGCAGGCTATGTCCCCTAATCTACATCCTTGAGAAAGAGGCTGAGATGACTGGCATTTGAGGGCGCTTCTAGCTTGGAAGGTTGGGAATGGGAAAAACAGAAACCTAGTCTGTACAGATTCTTATAAAGATTGCTTACAGCTTTATTTGTTAAAGCTGTTAGTAGTCTTTATTTGCAAACAGTCAGAAATGGGAACAGCGCATGTCCCAGTGGCTGAGCACTGGCTTGGCCACGGGAGGGCCCCAGCTGCTCCTGGGGTGCTGCAGATGTGCTTCCTGCAGAAACAGCTCTTGATCCACGAGAGCCCCCCTCCCTGGCAGCTCCCATACGTGCACCAGGTATGAGGCTGGATATATATATATATATATATATATATATGCCCATTTGCTACATTCCTTTTTCTATAAAGTATGTGAATGATAACAATAGGTGCTGACATTATTTGGAGGAAAAAAGAAATACGAACAACCTAAACCTCCATTATCAGGGGAAGGGGACTTCCAAGAGGTGGGTGCTGCTCAGAAACAAAGGAATGAATGATGGTCAACAACATGGGTGCGGATTGTGAGAGAAATACACTGGCAGGGTGGGCACCTGCTGAGGGGTTTGCATTTATAAAACTCTAGAAAGTGTAGATTAACCTGTAGTGACCGAAAGCAGAGGTTGGGGGAAAAGGGGATGAGAAGAAGCAAAGCACATTTTCCAAGTGACTTGATATGCTTGCTGTCATGATGGTGGTTTGAATGGGCTCAGGACACTACCCTGCGTACTACGGCATGTGGCACTTGACCCGGTGATGAAGAGTGTTTTAAGCTAAAGGAATTGGAGGAAGCAGCAGAAGCCAGAGGTCAAACCAACCTTTTCTCCTCTCAGCCTTGCCTTTCTCCCCTAAAGCAGGGGGCCAGGTCCCCCAGTGGGAGGTGCCTTCCCTGAGTCCAGAGGGGACCCCGTGCTCAGCTTTGCAGATGCTGCTCACAAAGAAAGACCCCAGCAGACAGGCCTGGCTAAGTTCCCTTCAGCTTTCCACCATTAGAGCAGACCTTTGTCCAGGATAGTTCTGCTCAACTGTGCCTTCATCAAATTAGTATTTAAAAACACAAGCTTAAATGTTTCTTTGGGTCTCCTCTTCCTTACAAAGGCTTTGTGCAATATTAAACTTTTTTACCCTTTCGTCTTGTTGATCTCTCTTGTTTCAGAGCCATCAACCATGGACTTAGGATAGGGGAACTTGGGGTCTGTGGCTCCACGAGTGGCTCCCGTATCAAAACTGCAATTGTACCAGGAAATGTATACCATGTATTGTGCATCAGTGGCATCTATGGATTGCCAGGTGCCCTCAGCAACTGGTCACCACTCTGCAAGAGCCCCTTGTCAACTGGGAATCATGCAGATCACTTAGGTGGCATCCAGTGGGGAAGGGAGCCCAGGACAGGAAACACATGCATTGTGAGAATAAGTGGCAGGGAGCAGAGGGCTTCTCCCTCCAGCAGGAGCATTTGCTCTCTGTCAGGCTGAGCACTTCATGAACACCATCACCCGCTGACACAACCTTCCAGTTACCAGGTCCATTTTACAGAAGGGGAAACTAGGCAACTACCTGTGTAGCAGCAGGCAGACCAGGATCCGACAGGGCCAGGAGGCACTACCAGTCCAAATGTTAAACTGTGACTAATTCTGGTTAAAGCCAAGTGACTTTTATGTTTTATTTTTA